CAAACTAATAGTCATGGAAATAAAAATGCTAGAAAGTTAATTTTCGTGTTCGGTTACATGTGTGAGCCACTGTGTATTAGAAGAAATTGAAACCGGTTTCATCAAGTATATTCTTGTTAAAGTCTCATCAAGTACTATCATACTAATTATGAATCAAAATGGGAATGACCGGAAAGAAATGTTAAGGTCTTCCTGATATTGCAAAACAGCTCTTTTGATTGAAAATTAGGTCGATATTAATATTGAACGATCATGTGTATATATTATCGTTATCCCAGAGACAAAATCTTGTATATTATAGTGGAGTGGTCTCTATAATGATAGTAAATCCCTATACATGTTCGCCATCGTATGGTCGAGCAAAGTGATTTCATTGGTATTAAACCTAAATTCCGAAAAAGATCATTGACTTTGGCACTTCAAGTTTGGTGTGCCGTGAAAGAAGATAACACTTGTGAAGAAAGTATCTTGGTATCCAACCTAATAGGAAAAAAGAACATATGATACCATGATTAATGGGAAGTGAATAAAATGAAACTCTTAGTTCCGTTTAAAAATTACTGCTGAATAAATAAATTTGACGAAAAAACATCAATTCTGCAGAATAATTTTTCAGTTTAGTGAAAACCAGTTTCATTTCATGTGCATATAATTGATGGAAAATTTTGATATTGAATTCAGTATGAGAGTTGTTAATGTGGTAATATAATTCCTATGCCATATCAATACGGTGTGGTAATATGATCCTTATGTCATATCAGTATGATAATTTCTATAACACTTGCGTTTATCTTCAACTGTTTGCAGACCGTAAAAGTCTGTTTAATAATATCACCATTCTTATTGTTTGTTTTCACTATACATGCAGTCAAACTATCTTGGCCTTGACTCAACTAATTATGTCAATGTCTCAATAAATTCGTGTACATACATTTTTGAATTGGGTAATATTGATAGAAAGGACGAAGTTGTGGTTTTAATAAATTGTTCATAGATTGTCCTTTATCTTAAGATAGTTTCGCAAATTATTAAAAAAGAAAGATTGCACCAGTGTGCTGAAGTCGGGAGATACGTATTAGCAGAAAAGTTAGTTATGCAAATCTGCGAAAACTGCAATATTTGCCTGGAAATCGAAAAATAATTGAATTTCATACTCTACGGAAAGATCGCATATTCCTATAATTAAAAAGACATGCAAAGATCGAGTATTTTTCTGGGTGTTAGCATTTTTCTTTCTAAGCTCAGCAATCTCGGCCAAGAGCTTCGAATTTAATTCTTTCAACAAATCAATTTTGGATTGAGGGTTTGCCATTGTTTTATATAAAATGTGGATTATTCAAAAGTTCGTTTGTTAGCATAGATAAAAACTGTAATAAAAATGTCACGATCAGAGTTATACAAAATTCTTTATCATATGCAAAAGTAAACGCGATTACAAATGCAATACTAGTTCGGAATGTTAATAATCAACTATACTCGCGTCTAGGTAGCGGAACTTTCTTGCTAAATTTCCTTCATAAACAAATAAGAAAAAAGTAAAATTCTTCGGAAAATTGAGATTAGTGAAGAAATGTATCGCTAGTAGAGGAGGACGGAGGGCTAACTTACAACTTCAAAGAACTGCGATATAAAGAAAATAAAAAGTGCTTTTTATGAAAACCTAAATTCCCCTTTCATAGCACGTAAAACATAATAAAAATCTATGGTAAGAGGATTAGGAATTGATGAAGGTGTTTGGAAAGTTGATGGCATTCCATGAAAGAGGCATTCTATTTTAATATTGTTGAGGCTCAATAAGAATTTGGTCGTTATCGTCAATGGTTTCGAACTCAAATTTCTATAAGTATATTAAAATCATTTCCTATCAACCCACTTTATATTAATTAAATAATAACTTATCATACCGAAATTGGTACTAAGTTCCCCATTGGTGTCCTGTCATTTGTGCAAAAATGCCATATCTGTCAAAAAATAAAAATCGTAAAATGATGGTAAGGAACTAATCCAAAAAATTATATCTTCATATTATTACTTACTTTAATTTTTGAAATAATTGTACCAGATCGTACTAAGTTTACTGCAATTGCATCATGAGCTCTACCTGGATAGAGCCAATAATCTTTTACTGCACTTAATAAATGTTTTTCAGTTTCCGAGGAGGCGACTTCTATTGCAAGATCGGGCCACGGTTTACGCTAAAATGTAATCATTGCTATTAGAAATTTGATTATGATAAAGGAAAAATATTTAAAACTCCACATACAGAATTAGGGCCTTCACGTCCATTTGAATTTACTTCAGGTTGTCAATCGGTGCAAAAGATCCATCTGCTTCTTTTCCCCTATCACCGGTCTTTCAATAATAGAAAGCATGTTTGAGTTATCTAACAGCATGATTAACAACCCAAAAAAGTTAAATACTTACGAACAGATCCTAAAGCAATAAGCATTCTTTCTGGATCTTTCAAACGAATCTCTCCTTTAATTGCTTCAGAAAAAGTCTCATGAGGACCTAAAGGTAATTCATAGACATAAACTTTCCCATCTATCCACTCCCAACTTCCATGCACATTAAACATATCAGTTCGCTCTGAATATTTCTCCCAATCAACATCACTTTTCAGCATATAGGGTAATCTTAACATTATGCATCCAATGGATGTTAGTACTGGCTCAGACCGATGAAGACAGTAAGACAAAAAAAATACTTACGAAGCTTCTTCCCATTTTGCACTCGGATGTATATTCCCTTGGATCCACCACAATTCTCGAAATTTTGTCAGAATGTCGTTAGATTTAGGAGTTTGGAAGGTAGCATAGCTATTGTAATAATTAGCAATTCTGGAGAGTTAGCCAAAAGAATTTATAATTACACATTTTTATTCACCTTGATTTCTTGGCAACAGAGCTTACTGTTTCTCTTGAGGTTGAGCTGTTGTGCATTATTAATTTAGAACAGCTCTTAAGAATTAGCCAAAGGATATTATAATCACGCATACCTTGATAACTCACTAACAGAGCTTGTTTCTTTGGAGATTGAACTGTTAGTGCTGCACGATGGTTCATAGCCAGAGTCATTTCATTTGTACGAAAAATCGTCAAAAATAAATTAAGACGTACATGTAGTACAGAAATTTTATTTTATGGCCTTCGAAAATTTTCCATAGTACAGGGTGATCGAACATGCGAAATTTTATATCATTATATCTAAAATTTCACGCTGAGCATTTTTACTTAAAAGCTAAAAGGTGGTTGTCATAGTAAAATTCTAAGTTATTTGCAATGATCTTGAAAAGCCATTTTATTGGTTACGCTGGGGGAGTTCGTCTAATCAGGGGTGGGATTTACATGCAAGTTATTGGAGGGATAGGTTACTTCTGACGAGCACTTTAAATGCATTATAGTTTTTTTTGTTGACAATCTTTGCTCTTTTTTCGAAGAAATGACATAATTAAAATTATATTTTCGAGTCATCCCGATTTCTTCCAATACCCAGACACAGTGTTAGCATAATGAAAATAAATGACTCATGATATAAAAGTCATGTGATTATGACGATTGGACGCATAACGTTCTTTTTTTCGATCATTTTTTACATCAAAAATTTACACATCTACATGGATTCGAGAAAAGCCTTAATTCTTGGTTTGAGTTTTGTAGGAGTTTTAGGTTTAGGATATATAGTGTATTTCGACTATAAAAGGCGTAATGACTCGGCTTTTAGAAGGAAAATTAGTAAGTTGTGAAGATTTCTAAAGAAATTGTTATAGGATCAAAAACATTTATTTGAAATTAATAACCTTGAGAAAACCAATTCAATCATCACGGTATTCTTGCGGGTTTTCAGAAAAAGACAAAAAACGAGCAGCCAAGCTTAAGAAAGCCAAAGATGAAGCCAAAGTTGAAGAAGACCGAAACAGACTAGCCACCTTTGTGCGAGAGGCCCTTGATGAAGTCGGCAAAGAAGATTTCCCAGAAACAGTCGAGGGTAAAGAGAAATTCTTTATGGATCAAGTGGCAATGGGGGAAAGTTTGTTCGCGGGTGGTAAGCTTGATTTTCTTTTTAATTTTTTTTGGTAATTTTCGATAGGTTGATTAAACTCCCTTTAATATACTGATTCATTAATAGGCGAATCTGGATATCAATCAGCTGCTATTTGTTTCTACAAGGCGTTGAAAGTATATCCATCACCAGTGGAACTTATTATGATATATCAAAAAACTATTCCTGAAGCCGTGTTTAATTTGGTTTACACCATGATGTCCCTAGAGGTAAATAGTTAACGCGAAAAAATTTACGATTTTTTATCGACGACATTTACCTTTTGGTGATATCTCATTAAATGCTATTAGATAAAGAAAAGGCAAGAAGAATACTGGGAAATATTTCCGTCAAATGAGATGAATGTTAAAATACAGCCAGTCGAGATTAATGACTCAAAAGCCTCTGACGATAAAGAAAAGTTAATTCGTCGTGGAGTATTTTCCATAAAAGATTTCAAACCGGGAGATGTTATATATGAAGAGAAACCTATTGTATCTGCACTTGACCCAAATCTTGAGGTAAAAATAGCATACATATGTACTTTTGGAGTAGACTAAAAAGCGCCATATAATTCAACTTATCTCTGTTAATTAAATGATGACGATGATGATGATGATGGTATAGGGGGGCGGTTTCTGCGGATATTGTTTAAGAGAAATAAAAGAAAAAGTAATCGAAGACGAAGATGATCTTTTTCGACCTATCTATTGTTCCGAAAAATGTCGTAGCACTGCATCGGCCGAATACTCGACAATATTGTTCAAAAAACCTACTACTTCACCTCTCACCGATAAAGAATCACGACTAGTAGATTTGATAAAGGGAGATAATGTTAAATACCCGCTGATGATTGCACGATTTTTTGCTCGAATGGTATACGAAGAGACAGAGAAAGTGGCGCAAAAGATCGAAGAAGAATACACCACTTATGATCACGTCGAAAAATTACGGTACCTAGAATTGCCGGTCACTGAACGAGAACAGCGCGAGATTGAGATTCTTAAAGATTTGCTGGCTAGCAAAGTACCGGGGATTGAAGAATTTATTTCGGAACGTTATATGATGTTTAAAGGGAAACTTGAGTATAATTCTTATGGTATAAATACTGCAAAGGAATACAATAAATCAATTAATGAGGTGATGGAGGATTATGATAGTTGAAGAAAGATAATTTATATTTTAATTAATTATTTCTTTATTTTTAGAGCAAGGAAGAAACAGTGCGTAATTCCAGCAATTCTCAGATTACAGGGGCCGGATTCTATCATGTCACATCTTTCTTTGCGCATTCTTGTGATCCTAATACACAAATCTCATTTCCATCCGAAAACCACGTCTTGTCGGTTATTGCAACTAAGCCAATTAAAGCTGGCGATGAGCTAAAATTAAGCTACATTAAGATTGGCGATTATGACACCAAAAGCCGACGAGAAGAACTATTGAAAAAATGGAAATTCTTATGCTTGTGTCCAAAATGCGCAGAAGACGATCCGGGCGAAGATGAAGACGACGAAGAAAATTGGGTTGATGAAGATGAAGGTTCTTCTAGTTAATGAAAACAATTAGTATAAATAATTAGTGAAATTTACATTTATAAAAAGAAATAAAAAAGGTCAAGATCATCATCAATTACATGTTTGTTTAAAAAGAATTTTCCAAGTTAGAAATTAAAAGACGAACCTTTATTTATGCTTGCTTATATTTCTTTGGAAGCTAAAGTTCCTTCTTTAGAGCAAATTAAATGGCCAACTTGAAAGCTGCTGATCAATTTGCCTACTTGTGCAGTTCTGAACAAAAACTATCAGATGGAGAGAAAGAATTTGAGGTGACTTTAACGTTTTCGGGGGATTCGAGAAATTCTGATATTGCACAACCAAGTCATCATACTGGAGCGAGAGTCACGATACCCTCGGCAAATTTACTAGAGATAACAGTTGAGGACGAAGGAGATAATAGTAAAGTTGCAAAATCTGTTAATCATACTATTTCTGAGCGAAAAGCCCCGGTCATAGGACTGTTGATTATCACATCTATGTTAGGTGTACTTATAAGAATTTGGCTCACTTATTTGATTACCTATCCTGGAACACCAGTGTTTCCACTTCTAGGCCCGCAATTTCTTGGCTGTGTAATTATGGGCTTTTGTTTGGCAAGGAAAGCAATGATACTGGAAAAGTAAAGAGCGAGTCTTTTTTATTGACTGTCAGAATATGTTATCAATCGATGGTGCAATTGGATATTACCCCATTTCTTCGCTCGATCTTGCTAAAATTGTTTCTTATAATAATATCGATAAAAAAGGTATTCGCCTCTTTATATAGGTCTCACTACAGGTCTTTGTGGCTCTATCACAACTTTTTCGTCATGGAATGTAGCGATCATTCAGTCATTGCTAAATTATAGAGGACTTCAACATGGAGCCATAGATAATGTATTTATATTATATTTTATACAAAGTTTAAGTGTTTATTTCAATAAAATGAAAATTCATAGATATATTATGACCTTTTATAAGCCAATTTCAGCATTATCTCATTTTGCTATCACATTAGGCATGTCAGTGAGTGGATTAAAATTCGGTGAAAATCTTGCCGATTTTTTCGTACCAACTAAGTCAAAACAGAACAAAACCGAAAATACCAAAATAGTATACACGATTACACCTGCAAAGTTTAATCTAAATCGCCTTAATTTGGTTGATTGGATATGTGTTATTCTTGGGCTTGGATCTTTAATTGCTGTAATTATGATTTCGGCATTTTGGCATCACTATCGACAGATTTTATTAGCTACTGTTTTTGCACCTTTTGGTAACACCACTATTTTTGCTCTTTTGCTTTGTATCAATATACGCTTTATCATCATTTTTGTTAATGAATTATTTTCGATAACTTAATTTGCAGGCACATTAATACGCTGGCAACTAGCAAGGTTGAACATGGTCACCTTGTCTTTTCCATTGGGAACTTATGCCGCAAACATCTCGGGAACTTTTATCCTTGCGTTATTGTTTATGCTTGGCAATGGTGAGATGTCGTCTATCCTGGGTTGTGATTTAATTTCAGCGATCTCAGTTGGATTTTGCGGTATTGGTTTTAATTCACTTGATCATTATTTTTTAATTTTAATTCGAGAAAAATTAATAGTGCGCTATCGTTATTTTCTTTAGGTTGTTTGACTACTGTATCAACATTTGCGGTAAGATTTTCAAATTGTTATTGAATCTAAGCAAAGAAATTTTTCATATGAAAATAATTGACCTTAACACATGGTACATATAACAATAAACAGGCCGAGATAACGACACTATCAAACCAAAACGCATATCGATACGCAATTATTTCTATGATAACCGCGCAGCTTTCGATGCTGCTTGTTATTGGTATTTATGATTGGACCATAAAGTTAGAGCCGACGTGCGGATAATTTATTTAATAGATTCGGTTTGACCCCTTTTTTTAGAACATATAATTACACCTCATACAGTCATAATCACTATCCTCTAATCCTCATATATTATATGTTAATTATATTCTATACAATGTGAAATAAAAGGTTGAACATTACTTTCACTAAATGATTATGTGATGTTGGTTGTTATATTATTTATAATGATCAAGTCGCATAATTTATTTTTTTCCATATTCATTTTTCACACAAACATGACATTTGCGACAACGAGCCTCATAAGTTTCCTGACCTCCCACTAAAACAGTCGGGTTATCATAACGAGCAGGACGACCATCAATTATTCTTTGGGATAAAGAAGCCTCTTTTTTACAAACTTGACAAATCGCCGTTAATTTGTGAACATAATCAGCCATCGCTAGTAATGATTTCATAACGTCATTAAAAGGTTCACCGCGGAAATTTTTATCTACCCCAGCCCCAATAACTTGATAGCCTTGGTTAGCCAAATCATTCAAAACACCAATAATCTCATCATCAAAAAACTGTATTTCATCAAGAAAAATCAATTCGGTATCAGGCTTTAAATGGTTTCTTATTTCCTCACTTTTACTAACGATTATTGCTTTTGTTTCCTTATTATTATGCGAAACTATTTCCCACGCTGAAGAATAACGATTATCCAAAGAGGGTTTAAAAACTAAGTACCCTTTTTGTGCGTATTGGCAACGGTGAATTTGGCGTAATAATTCCTCAGTTTTCCCCGCAAACATCGGACCAGTAATAATTGTTAGAGAACTGTTTTTGTTATCACTCATGTATAATCTTTTTTTTGTTATTTTTATGAGAATTATAATTTATCGCATGAGATATGTCGCTATGTCCCCTATTTACTAAGAGGGTAGGGTTATGGTTATGGGCCCAAAAAAGTAAGGTTATATTTTTGGTCCCCGTTACTATTAAATTTGGGGTCCTGCGATACATCACCATGGCGATAAATTAGAAAAAATTCTGTTACCTGGTTTGAGATCATGCAGAATTGTGTGTCAGGTTGGTGACGCAGTCATAATTACCCAAAGGTTGGTTATAGAGTTAGATTTAGAAGTTAGAGAAAGAGATGATTATATGTAATATTGTCTCCCTGACATTTTTTATTAGTATTCAAAGTTAAATTTGAACATTCATTTTTCATATTTTTCACTTTTGTGTTGAATTTGTTTGTCAAAATTTGTGCATTTTTATTATGATGCATTCTGCTTAGTTATATTATTACCATTTTCAGAGTTATTGCCTATAATGATATTTCTAAAATATAATAAGTGACTATGTTCAATTAAAAGATTAGATTATTGAACTATCAAAACTTATAATTTAAATATTAAATAATAAAATAATGGAATTGAACAAGAAACTTAATGAAAATAAATACAATAGCTATCAAAGCTTTCCTAAAGTGCTGGTTAATGATAATGTTCTCATTAATTCAAAAATTGTTAAAATTAGTGAATTAACAAAGTAACATAACAGTGAAAGAACAAAGACTGAATGAATTACAATTAATAGAGTTCATTAAAGGTTTTAAAGGTCTCCTATGGTAGCTTGTACGCAAACTAACTAAAAATTATCAATAAAGAATAGAAATGAATAGAAAAATAAAATAAAAAGATAAAAAGAATTAAAAGAATTAACAAATAGTTTCAAAGTGAATAACAGGACTTATTGAAGATGTCTAACGAAATAAAATAACAATTGGACTTATTGAAAATATCAATTACAAAATATAAACAAAAATAACTAAAAATAACCAAACAGGACTTATTGAAACTACCTAAAAGTAATTAAACAAAAATAATAATGTCAATGACTTATTTAGAGTGGAGAAGCATCCACTACTTGTAATTCCAAGATTTGAAGATAATTCACGAAAATAACAGTATATTTACAAGTAAAATATTACTAATAAGAACTTTGTTATTTATTAGATAAAAGAATTAGAGCATGAGAGTTTCTAGCGATAAGAGATTCTTTTTTTATACATTTTCAATCTTTTACACAATTTTATATAACTAATAATTGTTCTAAATTATACTATGATTTACATACAATACTAATAATACAAAAGGAGTATAAACATCAAAAAATAAATGAGAAATTACACAAATTTATTAATAAGAAAATACAAAAGAAAATTAGTTGTAATTTTAGTGGTTAAAGATAAGAAAAAGCAAGAGTTTGAGTAAAAAGAAGTGTTGTATAGAAAGAAAACAATAGTACGAACATAAAAAAAACTCTTTCTCATTGATCAATTTTTAAGAAAAGAGAAAAGAGTAAAAAATTATTGTTCACATAATAAACCCAGTTAAAATAATTAAATACATCACCAAAAATGTCTCAAAAAAATAGTGCATACTTGTTTGAGTCAGCCACTGCTGAAAACTCAAGCAACAACAACAAACAAATAGAAGTTGAGCAGTCTTCTATATCAACGAACACATCAGAAAGAATATACTCCAACCTACAAAAAAAATAGAACACCTCCAACTCCCTCAAAAAGACCATATAATAGCAAAAAACATACTACAGCATATAATATTAAAATAAATAAAAAAGAAAAGTTCAACAAACAACTCGTTAGTCAAGAAAAAACAAAGTTAAACTCATTTATTTCTCCAACCATATTTTCATCAATATATATCTCATTCTCCAACATGGGAAAGTTCAAAAAAACTATCAATAATAAATCTAGTATATCCAATTTCAATAATAACAACAAAAAATCTGGAAATTAAAAAGAAAAAATTAAAGAAAACACCTCTTCCTCCTCTAAGTCCAAAGAAGAGAAAATTTTTTTTGCTGTTACTGCGCCACAGATGGATAAAGGCGCAATAAATGATCAATATCGAAAATCAAAAAATGACTGGGCTCAAGATACCTTTGATTCTAGTAGTGAACATAGCATGAATAATTCAGATAATGAAAGCATTAATATGATTAATACAGAGAATAATGAAAATAACTGGAATACTATCACAAGCAACAAACGTTACTCTCTCATAATCAGTTATGATCAAGTTCCAGCAAACAAACACAGTGAGAAAAAATCATGAATTTACACTACTGTTATCATTTCATCAAAAAAATTCGTAATTACTTAATTATTGATCAACAAAAATTAAGATGTATTACAAAGAACATTAAATG